TGCCTCTGCCTGCTGTGTTTTGGTCCTTGGTGGCATTCCCATTGCCCCATCAATGGCACTGCTCCACGAGTTGCTCATCATCACTGATCTTGTCTGTCTTCTCTCTTGTTCTTTTTTTCATATCTGTCTCTTGTGGCTTATCAACTTTCCAAGGGTACAGTTGGCTCTAACCAAAGTGCACCTTTTTTCTCTTCTTTGATTTGAGTGTTATGAAAAACTTAATTTTTCTCTCATGGGTTTAATAGTGTTAAATCATTAGCTGCAAATTCTGGAAGAGTTCTGGGATTAGATCTTAAAATAGCTAAAGACTACACTAAGTAGAATGCAGAAATAATACACCAGAAATATTGGTAATTCTGAGCCCATTTCTGAAATCAATATGATTTGCACAAAGCTATCTATTTGAGTCTTTCAAGAGATGTGAAAATTAGTAAGATTATTTTATTTCAAAAAATCACTCTAGTAAAATCTTTCCCTTAACTTCATCAATAATAATATCTTTTGCTGTTCCTACACAACATAAATACATTTTGGAGAGAAGTTTGTTGTGAGCTTTATTACTTTGTTCAGACTCTATAACAATTTAAACTTTAGGTTACATAATTCTGAAACTTAACAAGAAAAATACTTGTGTCTGTTTAATCATTTGACTTTGCAGACACAACAAAGGCAGATGTCTAATAAGCATATGGTTTCTCATCTGGTAGCCTTAAAACCATGGATTAGATCTCTTGGTGGTGTTATTCAGAAGTCTACCTTTATCTAGTAGTAAATTCTGTGTGCCATCATTCATTGGAACCTTCCCCTCCTACCACCTGTCTGTCTTGATTGCTTTGAAAGGTATGATTTAAGTTCTTGTCCTAGTCTAATGGATGGCTTTTTCTTAAGTTATAGGAAACACAGTTGGATTCATATTAAGAATGAATCTAATGCTGCACAAGTGTATCATTGTTTGTAGTCATATAATATATGGCTCAGTAGTCCTTTCCTAAGTACAAATGTACTTTATTTGGTATTCTAATTATGTAGATTGGCCTCCAAATACTTTTTCCTAAAATACAAGTTTAAATGGAATGTATATAGTTATAAAGTCATTCCTGTTGCAAATAATTTTAAAAAAGAGGCTTACACGGATGTGAAGGACTTGTTACTGGAACTGGAGGGAAGGGGATCCTTACAGAAAGCTCAGCAACACATGTGCTTTCAGTGACATGGAAAATAGAACATGTGGCTGAGAAGCTTCGTGATCTAGCTCAAAAGGTTTTTGAGGAAAGTGTTGAAGGTGCCACATGGTTTCTTTTCACTTCTAATGGTAAAATGTGAGACTAGACAGATTAATCGTGGGGAGAATGTTAAAAAGAAATCGGGGCCTGATGGTCTGAAAATTCTCAATCTCTCATGAAGGTGTTAAAATTAAGAAGCAATCTTCTGAGGAAAGTTTGGATCCATTATGAGTTTTCTTAACATCAAGTACCTGCCTTGTCTGGTGGCAAAATTATGTTTATGTGTGTGATTGTTATTTGATACTAATGTTGAGTCAGTAGAGGGGGAGACTTGTATTTCCAGCTAACCTATGGATTTTGAGAACTGTTTGAGACTAAACTGTTACAGGAAGTTGAGATGCAAGCATATTGTAGGAAAAGCTGCCCTTTTGTGGAACCCTAGTACTCCCTAATATATATATATGTATATCTATATCTTTTATCTATCTATATAGATGTAGATACAGATATTCATACATACATACACACACACCATCCATCCCTGAGAGTCTACCAAAACTAAAGTAAAAGAGCCAGGATTAAATCTGGCTTAACAGGGCTTTCAGGCCCACCTGCAAGGAAGTCGCTTAGAGAGCCAAAGATGTTAAGCACCAACAGCCATCAGCAGTGTTTCAGGAAGTGTTAAATTAAAAGATTAAAGGTCTCTGGTCCTGGCCACAGGAAGGTCTAATTAATAACTCAGCCTTTCAGTCTGTGAGATCTCCCTGCTTCATAATCTCAACCTTAAAACTCAAGTTGTCCCACTACTTCAACAAGTATTATGGAAGCTAGATATCTCGGCAGTAACCAAACTGTTGGGGAAGTGGGAGACAATGAAATATATTGGTTTACTGTAAATCATTCTGTTTTTAATTTTTTTTTTCTTGAAAAGCACCTAAAATTATGAGCATAGAAGCAGGGTTTCTTGGTCTTGGCACTACTGGCACGTTGGACTGCGCCTGGATTATTTTTTGTTGTAGGGGCTGTCCTCTGTGTTGTGGGATATTTAGTGGCATCCTGGCCTCTCCTCTCTAGCTGCCACTAGTATTCCCTGGGGGCAAAAGTGACTCTAGCTGAGAACCCCTGCCAAAAACAAAGAATTATTAGAAAAAGGAAATCATGGCATTGGGATTTAATTGTCTATACGTGCATATTATTTATCTAAAATAACTCTTGATCCGTGAGCTGCTTTGAGAAGATAATATATGTGTTCAATCATTGTAAATTAAAGCAACATACTAATTTGGGCTTGAATGTTGGAAATTTTGTTTTGAGAAAAATATAATGGGTGTTTCCTTTAACTGCTAGCAAATATATATAAGAAATTAATACCTCACTTGACATTGAGCAGCATAGCCAGGAAAAAGCCTTGGTTTTCAGGTTTTTGTTTGTTTGTTTGTTTGTTTGTTTTAGGAGGTTTTTGCCTTAGGGTGCATGTCCTGCTAGAGACAGACACAGTGACAGGGAAAGTGAGAAATCACCCCCAGGGGAGATGGCCATGCTGCAATCCCCCCTCCCCATTCTCCTCCCGGAATCTTGGGCACACAGGCACCCAGGGTCATTTGCAAGCCAAGTCCTGGACTCAGAGCACAGTTGGCCATATGGGAGTCCAGTGATATAACTGCTATGCAATCTGCTATTCCTGAACCCAGGTTTCTTAATGTCTGACCCAGGGAGTACTTTTCTTACTAGAGGAATTCACTTCATATAAACCTGAGTGATCACCTTTATCTTTCAGAGCACTTTGAAAAACAAACTTCTGGTTCTCTCAGTTTTTTGATGATAAGCTATGTTTGGAAGCCACTGCACCAAGCCACATTGCCACTTGTTAAGTAAATCCTTTTTTTTTTTAAGAGGTTTTTTCTTAGATTATGTGTGCTTGCTGGAAAGAGAGACAGACACAGTGAGAGGGAGAGTGAGAAATCAACCCCCAAGGAAATACCCACTCCGCCATCCCTTCTCCTCCCCTTCTCCTCCATACTCCTCCCAGGATCTTGGGCATACCCGCACATGTACCTGGCATGATTTTCAAGCCATCAGGTCTGGGACTCGAACCGTGGTTATTCATGTGGGAATCCAGTGACATAACCGTACACCATCTGCTGTTCTTGATAAACCATGTTTAATATAGGGAGGGAATGTGTGTGTGTGTTCAGCTTTCCAAGGAGTGGTAGATGACAACATTTTACACTGAAAAAAATGGGGGGAAATGCTACTTTTAATAATTAGGTTGTGGTTTCCATAGTGTCTTACTAGAAGATATTAAAATGACTTCTGCTTGTTTTCTCATGTGGCTCTAAAGTGTTTACTGAAGTAGTTGAAAAGAGCAAGGCAAGAAGAATTGTTGGGTATGTTTTGTAAAACACCCTGCACACCCTAGATAGCAAAAATTTTGTTGATGAAACAAATAGTCAATGACTCTTGCAATCAATTTTTAGGCATCTACTCCTGTGCTATAGGAAAGGTATTAAAGGCATACTTGTGGGTTGTCGAGAAAATCATGACACATTTTTGCATAGAAAAATACATCCCAACAACCTAGTAGTACTAAATTTCAGGTTGAGAGCCAGGTGGAGTTTCAGAGTGAAACTGGCTGTCTGGTGTGATCGTTATTCTCTAGGCATTGACTATGGTATCAAATACTGAAATCCCAATGATTAAAGGAATTGAGGATTGTTAGTACAATAGCTACTACATTTTTTTTTTTTTTGGAGAGGTTTTTGCTATAGGGTGTGTGCGCTCGCCAGACAGACAGAGAGAGAGACACCCCCCAGAGAGGATGGCCACGCCGCAATCCCTTCTCCTCCATTCTCCTCTTGGGATCTTGGGCACGTGGGCACGCATGCACACGTGCCCAGCGTGAGTTTTTGTTTTTTTTTTGTTTTTGTTTTTGTTTTTTGAGAGATTTTCTCTATAGGGCGCATGCGCACGCCAGACAGAGACAGACATAGAGACAGAAAGCGCGAAATCACCCCCAGGGGGCATGGTCACGCAGCAATCCTTTCTCCTCCATTCTCCTCTTGGGATCTTGGGCACGCATGCACACGCGCCTGGTGTGAGTTTTAAGCCACCAGGTCCGGGATGCGAACTGCGGTCGACTACATGGGAGTCCAGCGACATAGCCATTACGCTAACTGCTGGTTCCCCCAGCATGAGTTTTAAGCCACTGGGTCCAGGACACGAACCACAGTCAACTACATAGGAGTCCAGCGACATAGCCATTATGCTAACTGCTGGTCCCAACAATAGCTACTACTTTTTTAAAAATTATTTTATTTAATTTTATCTGTTTGTTTATTTCAGCTTGACCAGAGAGAGACATGCAGAAGGAGAGAGAGAGGGAAAGTGAGGAAGCTAAGCCACCAGGTCTGGGACTCAAACCGTGGTTAGCCATGTGGGAGTGTCCAGCGTCTTAACCATCACGCCACTTGCTGATCTCCTGCTACTACATTTTTTATAAAAACTCCTAAAATATAGGGATTTATTTGTTCATGCAGTATATATGTTTCCCTTATATCATGATACTATTTCTGTTGTTTAAAATATATCAGAACTCTTTTATACATTTTCATTAAAATTTCTTGAACTCTATTCTTAATTCAAATAATTTTAGTGTCCTAGTAAATTCTACTTTTCTTCATGTAACCATTTGACTAATAAGACATTTTATCATAAGGATTCCTAATGTTAATGTTAGTTTCTTAATATTGTCCACTTTACTTTTGAAATCTCTTACAGTGCCTATTCCAACCAATGTTATGATTGAGGCCTATAACCTAAACCCAGTCCTATATTGGGACTACCAAAGCATGCCAGAGACACCGGTGTTTACTGTACAGGTAAAGAACTATGGGTAAGTAGTGCTCTCTTTTTATTCTATTTGCCTTTTATTTTTTTATTTTTTTAAGAATTACTTAATTGGGACCAGCAGTTAGCATAATGGCTGGGGTGCTGAACTCCCATGTAGTCGACCGTGGTTCGAGTCCTGGACCTGATGGCTTAAACTCAGGCCGGGCACATGTGCATGTGTGCCTAAGATCCCGAGAGGAGAATGGAGGAGAAGGGATTGTGGCATGGCCAGCTACCCTGGGGAATGATTTCTTGCTTTCTGTCTCTCTGTCTTTCTCTGGTAAGTGCATGCACCCTATAGCAAGAAAAAAATCTCTCAAAAAAAATTACTTAATTTTACTTATTCATTCATTATTTGTTTTTTATTTATTTTTTTGGGAAAGGTTTTGGGTATAGGGCACGTGCACTCGCCAGAGAGACAGAGAGAAACAGAAACCCAGAAATTACCCCCTGGGGGAATGGCCACGCTGCAAAATCCCTTCTCCTCCATTCTCCTCTCGGGATCTTGGGCACAAACGCACACACACCTGGCGTGAGTGTAAGCCACCGGATCTGGGACTCAAACCGCAGTCGACTACATGGGAGTTCAATGGCATAGCCATTATGCTAACTGCTGGTCCTTTGTTTTTTAATTTGACCAGAGAGAGAAAACAAATCACTAGGTCCAGGACTTGAACCATGGTTGGCCATGTGGGAGTGTCCAGGGCCTTAACCACCATACCACCTGGTAGTCCCTATTCTATTTTCATTTAGGTCTTTGCACAATTATAACTTGTCTTTGTTTTTCTATCATCGTTTCTTCCCAAGTAACTGGACTTCCCAAACTGCCTTGTAGACATCCTGGAGTGCTAAGGATGCAAATTAGTTCTTTGCAAAATACTTCCTGCTTCTTATTTCTTCTTCCTGTCAGTATTGAAGTAGAGAAGTAGCACTGTCTTGAGACATTTTAGGCACAGTGGAGCTAGTAGCTAAGGAAGTCATCTTACTTTTTGTGGTATATTTGTGCTTTTTAGTAGAAAGATAAAAATTTCAAAAAAAAAATTTGACAGCTGTTAGGAGTCTGCAATATGTAGGACTCTAATTAAACATCTACATAATGGTATCTAGAATTTTTTAAAGCAGATTTTAAAAATTATTAATAAATGAGCAATGTGTTTTATATAGGTCTTGTATTTTGAACTGAGCTTCTTTTAGTAAAAAAATAAAAAATTGCCGTATGTCCAACTAAACAGTAAGTTCTTCCTACTTTGTCTAGCTTGTTCACTCTGTTCTTATTCAGCTCTTTCTATAAGCTCCATGCCGTGAATGAAAAGCAAAGCACAGACAAATTAGGTTTATGTGATAACAGTAAAGTGACCTTTGTGTTTCTTTATTCCTTTTCTGTTCTAGAGATCCATCGTGGGTTGATGCCTGCGTCAATATTTCTCATCACTATTGTAGTCTTTTTTACCATCTTGATGATCCATCGTATTCTATCTGGGCCCAAGTTAAAGCTAGGGTTGGACAAAAAGAATCTGCCTTTGCAAAGTCAGAAGGATTTATTTTGTGCCAACATGGTGAGTATGATGCATATCTATAGAAATTTTAAATTAGAAAACATACACCTTCTGTATGTATCTCCTGTTATTTACAGTTGCTAAAAATGGTCACAGTGCCCAAGAAACATTTGGAAGAATTTAGAGAGTCAGTGTCTTCCCCTTCTTCAAACCCCATCAAGTAGAGCTAAGAGGCAGCCATGACTTTGCCTCTAAACAATTACATTCCCACTCCATACACATCTGAACTAGTGGTGTCCACCTAGGTCATGCA